TCAGGCCCATCAGACATATGTGGATCATTCGTCCGCAGACTTGGCTGCTTCTGCAGAAAACCGGCACCAAAAATTGAGAGAATTGAAATTCTATAACGAAGACAACCGGGCAGAAATCAAAGTTCAATATCAGCCCCAAAAACTGAGTGCCTTCAGAGGCTTCTCTCCCCATCTTTCTTTCGCTGGGAAGAAGGGCTCGGGATCAAGGTAAACGTCATTTAGTGTGGCACGATCGCTGCCGATCGGTAGCCAGGTCTGGGTCTGTATCTGAAAGGCTGAGGAGGATCCTCCCTTTTGGGGCTTCCTCTCGGTGCGTTGGGAACAACGCACGATTTACACATTAAAACACTTTAATTTTCATTGTGCAGCCGGTTGGGTCTTGGAAGCTTCGATCCAACGTCTGTCGGCCAGTGACGATCTACTTCCCTTTTTCCTGTGTTTTTTTCTTCAATCAATTCTGGATTCTGAGGGGGGAACTGGAGAAGAGGAGGACCTTTCTCAACCTCAAATTAGTGACTTTGGGCGTGTGTATATATTTTTAGCTGTGGGAACTGCAGTTATTACTTGGGGTGTGCTAGCACTGGCACTGGGCACCCTCTCCCCCATTTAGAAATACCATATCCTATAGGGAAAATAATAAGCATGAAAAATATGAAACGGTGGCAAATGTGTGATCTGATCCAAACGGAACTAAATCCAAGTGTTGGAGATGGAGGATGGAGGACACCTCCTCCTGGACTAAGATATATGTTGATTTAAATGAATTCCTTGTTGATTTTTATGGCGCTTAGTTAGGAGGGGAGACCTGAGTGAAGTGTGCGGTCTGCGGGGCATTAGAAGTCGTGACTGTATGGTTTTTTATTCTCTCCTCTAGTGTGAGATTTTTATTTTTATGAATTTGATAAATGGCCGGCAGGGAGTTGGGCTAATAACTGGAAAGTTCTTTTTGACAGGCTCCAAAAAAGGGGGAAATAAAATATATATTTCATAAAAAATAAAGAGCTAAAGGGAAGTATAAGTTATGACCTAAGGAAAAGGAAAATGGTGGTTGAAGTCTGATTATGCTTTCAAGGCTTTACTTCTGGAAATTTATAGTCCAAAAAAATATTTTTAATATCATCAATATAGCTCAAAAATGAATAAAACCTTCTACTATATCTCTCCCTCCTCGGGATCATTGATCTCCTCGATTGGTGTAACGGTCAGTTAGGATAGATCAGCTGCTCCTTGAGCCAACATTTTGCACTAAACTGTCCTTTGACACTCGTGCCAAAGATTGTTACAGCTGCCATCCCCATCCACATAACATCCCATCTTCGGGACGCATCCCCCGTCTTTCCCTTTTTGGGCCAAGACAACAATGGCTCAGGGCCAAGACAATGGACGGCGCTTGGAAAACTGACTTTCCAGGGGACGTGCGGGGTTTTTCATCGGCTTCTTGGTGAGGATTCTCTAATTGCTGGCAAACATCTTATATAATATCCGAAGAGAAGATGCGACTCGGCATGAATTTAGGATGGAGCGTGCCCAATGCGAAACAGCTGCCAAGGATCACTACGGCGATGACGACGACGAGGATGATGAGGAAGGGTTGCGGGCAGATTAGGCGGGATTTGTTTGTTGTAAAGATTTGCGGTTGCAGCTACGGCTGGTAATGGTTTCTCAACCCCAGAATCTGTCATAAAAAATAGTATCTTAGGTACTGACAGATAGCTAAACTTTAAAGAACAAAATGAGAGCTATACATTTATTGTTAGTATTTTTATTTTTTGAGATGATTATTTTATAAATAAAATATTTTAATAATTATATGGGATAAATTAAATATATATTTCCAAATTCCATGTGACTAGTTCTACAATTAAGAGATTCAATTTAAAGGGGAACCAAAGTTTGTATAACATAGCAGAGAAAATCTATCATAACTCAGTCAAAACCCCATTAATTTTAATTCGGAAACCTTTATAGTGTTAGTTTTCATTAGGTTTAAAATATGCATACGTCATTTAAAATTTCGAAAACATTACGATGAAATTAAAAAAAAATTGGTATAAAATGAGATGGCCTGAGATGACTAGATCGACTCAGCTGTTTATGCTGATATGAATATAATTTATAGGGTCGGAAATGACTCCTTCACTGCCTTCCTATTATAGCCTGGGCGGGTTTAAAAATTCAATAATATAATATATAATATTTATATATCTTCCAATCATGTGGTCTTTATGTATTTATTATTAATTAACAGTCACATAATATTGAAAATAAATGGGTCCAAGGAAAACAAATAAAGAGGCTTAGTAAATTTGGCTTACAATTCAATAAATACATTTTTTGTTTCTGGTTCCGGTCTTTTAATGTAATTTCTTGGGAAGTATAACCCCAAATGGATTTGATATTGTTTACATAAGCTATTCTAATCAATAAATGGTTACCAATTTCAATCGAACTCGATCATATTCCCTTCTTGAAGCCCAACAGAAACATGATTGTGAGAGAATTGGAGACATTCAAATCAATTAAAGCAAATTTGAACTGACAGAGGGGAGTTGGAGTCACAGAACTTCCCTGTCGAAGTTCTCTACACCATTCCCTACTACTCCCCCTTGACGACAACAACTGTAAATCTTCCAATAAGTACAGTCATACCTATCCCTCGGGGAGAGTCACCGCGAGTCATATCAATTCATAAATGCATAATGATTTCGACAGGAGGACTGGGACAGGGGACAGGGGCTAAAATTAAAACAGAAGTAGCAGCACTTCGTCTGATGTGGAATAATGTGAGAAAAAAACTTTCTCACGATCACCTTTTGATGTCGCACAGACGGCGTTTAGTGGAAATCCACGTGCAAAAGGGGGAAGTTTGGCCGCTCGCTCGATCGCTGGCACGGAAGGAAGGAAGCAAAAGGAACCCACCACCATAAGCCGCCGCCACCACCACCACCACATCACCTCCAGGAAGCAGGCGGAGTAGGACGCAGGACTCTTCGCCTGCGCTTGTGGTGGTAGTTATCCATCCCCGCCTCCTCTTCGATCGCCAGAAGTGCATGAGAATTTAAATTACAAACAAACACAGGAGCAGGAGAGAGCGGCACAATCAGCGGGCTTTGTCCGTGTGCGTGAGTGCATCGGCATGCGAAGGAGACGAGAAGGAGGAGTATGAGCTGCAGGAGAGGGAGGACCAGGGAGGGTGCCAGGACGAGGCGTGTGTGGGAACTTTTGACGAGGACACTCGAGCATGAAGCGGGTCAGCCGACAGCAGGCAATCATTATCCAGGGCACCACAGCTCCTTTTTTACGTTCAATTCCCACACGCCCACAAGAGGCGTTAGCTTGATAGCTGCTCTCCGAGGGAATCAAACGGCATTTTAAAACTCAAAAAAATTATGGCTGTCAACGGAGAGCCAGGTTCTGAGATGCCAAAGCATCGTTCTCAGCCAAACAAAAACAAAAACTACACCCCGAGAGCTTGGTTCTCACCAAAACAAAAACAACACCTACGCGAAACGGGACGAGCATCTTTTCTCTCAGAGAAATTATGTTCTCATTCTCTTTTTTGCTGTGCAACATGCAACAAAATAAATGTATCAGTAAGCCGAGAGAAGTAAGGGGCGGATGCAAAACTGTTTGAAGGGGGATAACTAACATATAATAAATAATAAATATAATTAATATTAATATTAACATTTTGATTGTTTTTTTTATTTTAAAAATAATTTAATTATATTAAAAGTTCTAAGATATTGAAATGAGTTCAACTGATTTCTTTGATTTTATATTCTTGGAGGAATCTATAACTTTAGGAAGAAGTTTACCGCGCAGTGAAGGAGTCGTTTCCGACTTTTTAGAATACATATGTATATAAACTCATTATCAGCGTCAACAAGTCCATATACCCTTGTTCTCTATATACGCTAACTAGTCTTTTAGTTTTGGAGCTATTAAAATTATTCTTTTCAGATTAGTCTTTTTTCTACTATGTAGGTATTACTTTAGATTTTTTATTTTTTTTTTTTATTTATTTTTATTTTTTTATTTTTTACAATACAGACGACTAAATTATATAGCTTTTGTCCGATTAATCAGTAAATTAATAAAAATAACCAAAATTTAACTTCTCTTTCTTTTTTTAAACCCATTTTTACCTACAGTGACATATGCACATATTTTATTATTTCAGAATATTGATTTAATGTTTATTATATATATATGCATTTAAAATGCCAAATTAGAATCGAATAATATAAAACTGTTAATGTGAAACATTGCAATATGTATGCTAATTGTAATGTAATTTTATATTGCTTTAAACCTGTTCAACATATATATTTACAATTTATATTATGTTAGGTAATTTAACTGTTATATATATATTTGTTTTGTTAGATTTAAAAATAATGCTTTAATTTGATCAAAATTAAATTCGAACAACATACAAATGTATGTATAGACGTTTAACATGTAACTCTTGTTTGTTTTTCTTTTCATTTGACTAAAATTAATCGATTCTTAATAAAAAACTAAAAGGGTAATTAAATTTCAGAGTGCATCATTAATGTTTCCAAATTTTGTTAAAGAAAACACAAAGAAAACAAAGAGATTCACCTTGCACATTATGCGTTTAGTATATCAAACCCCCACAACTCCGCCCCTGGATGCCTGAAAGTCAAAGTCATTCCAACAAATAATTCCATGCTGTGTTGCAATGTAATCCGATCCGATCCCACTCAAGAGGCCCAGAAATCTGAAGTCCCATGTGCCAGGCCACATAAATGCATTCTTTCGCCTATTTTTAAACATTCCAGATGATAAGGCAGCGGAAAACAGGCCCACTGTGCATGTGCATTGATAAATACCAAGGAGAGCGTGTGTGTATGCGGGGCATTACTCATGCGCCCTGCTATCAAGCGTCGTTTAGTATTTTCCTGGCTCCCTTTCGGTATTTTCCATGGCCACACTGCCGCCGCGCTGGGGCGTTGTTGTTGCCGTGGAGAGCGGAGCACAAGTATTTTACGCGTTGCCGTCGATGGTCATACTGACACAGAAAATGCAAAAAAAGTAAGAGCGAAAAAGAGCTGGCGTAGGCGTGACAAACGGTGAAAAATAAGCGTTTATAGTGCATGCAAAAATATTGAACACCACAGTGAAGCGTCGCTTGTGCAAACCCCGGTAAAAGTACCCTCGAAACACACAGATAGCTAGCTCGGCGCTTGGCGGCCATTCAAATGAATAGTCCTCGCACAAACGCCGTCAATGGCGGCAGCGGCGGCGGTGCCATCTCCGCGCTGCCCAGCACCCTTGCCCAACTGGCGCTGCGCGACAAGCAGCAGGCTGCGGCGGCGACAGCGACGTCGACCGCGTCCTCTGCCACGAGTAACGGTGGCAGCGAGTCCTCGCTGGGCGGCCGACCGCCTAACCAGCCGCCCAGCGTGCCAGTGTCCGCCAGCAAGCTGGACAGCTCGGCCAGCGGCGCCTCCAACGGCGACTCGAACAAGCTCACCCACGACCTGCAGGAGAAGGAGCACCAGCTGCAGAAGCCGCAGAAGCCGCCGCTCCCGGTGCGCCAGAAGCCGATGGAGATCGCCGGCTACGTGGGCTTCGCCAACCTGCCCAATCAGGTCTATCGCAAGGCCGTCAAGCGGGGTTTCGAGTTCACCCTGATGGTGGTGGGCGCCAGTGGGCTGGGCAAGTCCACGCTGATCAATTCCATGTTCCTGTCGGACATCTACAATGCCGAACAGTATCCTGGACCGTCGCTGCGCAAGAAGAAGACCGTGGCCGTGGAGGCCACAAAGGTAATGCTCAAAGAGAATGGCGTCAATCTCACCCTCACCGTGGTGGACACCCCGGGCTTTGGCGATGCCGTGGACAACAGCAACTGCTGGGTGCCCATCCTGGAGTACGTGGACAGCAAGTACGAGGAGTACCTGAACGCCGAGTCTCGTGTCTACCGCAAGACCATCTCCGACAGCCGAGTGCACTGCTGCCTGTACTTCATAGCGCCATCAGGGCACGGCCTGCTGCCCCTGGACATTGCCTGCATGCAGAGTCTGTCCGATAAGGTGAATCTGGTACCAGTGATCGCCAAGGCGGACACCATGACGCCAGACGAGGTGCATCTGTTCAAGAAACAGATCCTCAATGAGATCGCGCAGCACAAGATCAAGATCTACGACTTCCCCGCCACGTTGGAGGACGCGGCCGAGGAGGCGAAGACCACGCAGAATCTGCGTAGCCGAGTGCCATTCGCGGTGGTGGGTGCTAATACCATCATCGAGCAGGACGGAAAGAAGGTGCGGGGCCGACGCTATCCCTGGGGCCTCGTCGAGGTGGAGAACCTGACGCACTGCGACTTTATAGCTCTGCGCAACATGGTCATACGCACCCACCTGCAGGACTTGAAGGACGTCACGAACAACGTTCACTACGAGAACTATCGCTGCCGAAAGTTATCCGACCTGGGCTCAGGGGAGAGCAAGGCTAGGCTGTCCAACAAGAACCCCCTTACTCAGATGGAGGAGGAGAAGCGGGAGCATGAGCAAAAGATGAAGAAGATGGAGGCAGAGATGGAGCAGGTGTTCGACATGAAGGTCAAGGAGAAGATGCAGAAGCTCAGGGACTCGGAACTGGAGCTGGCGCGGCGCCATGAGGAGCGGAAGAAGGCACTGGAGCTGCAGATTCGTGAGTTGGACGAGAAGCGGCGGGAGTTCGAGCGCGAGAAGAAGGAGTGGGAGGACGTGAACCATGTGACGCTGGAGGAGCTCAAACGACGCAGTCTGGGGGCCAACAGCAGCTCCGACAATGTGGACGGCAAGAAGGAGAAGAAGAAGAAGGGTCTGTTCTAAGTCAACCCGCTCAAAAAACCACATCCCCCATTCCCATTCCCTTTACCGCAAATCCCCTCTCCTCTTCGATATACTTAAGCGCTAATCTCGAGAACAAACAGAAAGTAACCCCTAGCGTATCCTACACATAAACCTAACATTTCTAGTAATACGAAAAAGTGCATAATTATATATATATATATCTATTGTTGGGCCCCCAGCCGCCCCACAAGGCTTCAATTCGCACAGCAATCGTCCTGCGACGGCGGTTGCCTTTGTTTTCTACCATACTTTAAAGTTAAAACGAAATACATATTACATATTACATAGCAGTTGCAGTATTCTATCGATATATACATGTATCCATGCATTCACTTGACGAGAGACATTTGCTAGCCTAATGAATTGAACACGCAATCGAATTAAATCGAGCCAGAAACAAAACGGTATTTACAAAATACTTAAATATCTTAAAGCTAAAATAAAATATAAAGAAAAAAACCCACACCTAAGCAGAAAGTACGAGTACGAGGCGAAATTGATCCTAAAATTAATTATAACGAATAACGAAACCATGTATAACGTATATGCTATTGATATTGTAATTGTATTTTACCTATTATGCATAAAGTCATTAAACACCCGAAACAAACACATACACCAGCATAAGCAGAAGCAGCAGCGAAAACAACAACAAAATATACTCTTGCATTTTACAAAATAAAGTCTTCTCTTTAGTTTAACTACATAAAACAACAAAAAACCGAAAAGAATTCCATATTGACTTTATTGTTTACTCAACTGCAGCGGAAGAATCGACGTACAGGGTGCTTTGATCGTCGTTCCTCCTCCCCCGATCCTATTGGCACACGTCTGGGAATTAACACCGTGACGCTGGATTTTGAAATGCGGAATAAATGTCTTGAGTGAAGCAAAACATTTTTCAACCGCTGACTAATTTTTTTGTTACACATAACAAACATACTTCGAATCTGGACTGAACGTGAATGGATGAGTCACTTTCATTAAGGAGCATTGGCTTGAGTCAGGCGGCGGATAGTTAAATCACTCGCCGCAAACAATTAAAAGTGTTTACTCTTTCCATTGTTTAGATGCTTAGTGGACCGCTCAGATACATGTGTGGGGGGGGTCTTTGTCGGTATAGTGAATGCCAATTAAAAAGAGTTTAAAATTTACCTATTTTATTTTAGTATTTTTTATAGGGTATCACAATGTAGTTCTTGCCCAAATTCCACTCACGCGATTTCCAAAACTCTGCCACACCCTATATGTCAATACTTGCAGGCAACATATACATGCATATATACATACTTTAAGTACATACAATTACGGTCGAAGTTTTAGGATCTCAACTTAAGACAGCTTTTATTACCATAGTTTTGGGTATATATTCTAAAGGATGTATCAATGAGAATTTGGAGATCCAGATAAGATTATAATTAATTTATCACATTAAGTCGGCAGTATTAATTTTCTTTTTCAGTTTAAAATATCGAGTTTCAGAAATTCTTGGGGCCTAAAGAAAATCTTTTAATTAAAAATAACTCAAGCTCGTCTTGCTCAAGTTAAACTGTATAAACCATATACATAGTAAATCAGAAATGAAGATAAAATCGTGCTGGTTTGCAAAAATGAAGATATGACAGATAAGATACAAGGGTATATATAAAATAAATATTGAATAAGGTCATATTAAGAAAACATTGCAGAAGATATTCATACTACCCAGTGATTAATTAATCTTAAGAAGAATTCCCAGAGATAAACAACGTTTAATCATTAACAACAATTGTTCTTATCGCTATTATTTTCACCACCATTGTAGCTATGTGGAAAAATTGCATTTTCTCCGGCTGCCCACTTGAAATGGCTTTCTAAATGCCCCTAAAGCAGGCAGACACACAAGCTTATGGAGAGACATGTGTGTGCCATGGATATTTAATTTATGCACAAAAATTAATCCATAACCCAATTGGAAGGCACTCAATTAGAGCCGTATAAAGCGTAAAATGAAAATCCATTGGTGAAAGATATCGAAGAAACATGGAGCGAGAGTGGGAGCGAGGAGAGGGGCCAATGGATGGTGGGAGGGGTGACAATCAAGATATGCATGTACATACATACATATGTGCCGGCAGCAGTGCCTCTGTGAGTATGTAAGTCAACAACGTTGACGCAGCACTTAACTCAACACAACTCGAAGCAATTGGCTTTGGCGATCAATGAACGCAGCGCCAAGAGAAGAAGCTCCACTGAGAGAGGTGAAACACTGAGAAAAATACTTGTTGGTCAAAAATCAACATAAATGATTAAAGAATTAATTTAAATATTTAATATTTTACTACTTTTATAAATCAGTTATCTACCAAAGTAAAACTTTAAAGAAAAACATTCTTCTTCAAAAGAATTTAATTGCTTGTTTTGGTTAGACATCCTTTTCCGAGTGTAGTAAAGTGGAGTTCGCTCTGTGCTCTTGTTTTTAGGACGATGACTCAAATACGAAACAAGGGGCACGGAGCAAGAGGCAATTGCGTCGTATGTGTGTGTGTGTTTGTGAGGCTTATCGAGTTGGAATGAGAGCACAAGAGCTCCGCTTGTTTTCGCCTGTGGGTGAGCTTCATGTGGCATCCATCTGGTGACGGAACACCCTGTAACTCCGTTCGCCACAGTTGTGGACGGCATTCCAGCACGTCTAACGCAAAAAACACACAAAACCGATCCAAACCATCGACAGGCAAACGCTTAAGATTAAAAACAAATGTTGACCGTTCCAAATGAGCCGGCACATCGCCGAGGGATAGAGAATAGAGAGAGATTGAGAGAGAGAGAGGGAACTCTCTCCAATACACCCACAACTGCCTGACACACTTACGTGACTGCGAGAGAGCTACGCCTGCGCCTCGCTCTCAATAATTGGTACTAGTTGGGCTCTAAGGTATGCTGAACTAAGGCTTAACAACTTGGATTCATCAACTAGCTTTGAAGGTAAATCTATTTAAATGTTAAATAATTAGAAATATTTATATTTAAAAAAAAAATTACATCAAATACTACCTATTAGAGAGTTCATATGACTCTTAGGGAATGTCTCATTGTTAATCTTAGGACAGATAATTGTTATAGGGTATCCAAAAATCTTCACCCGCATTTTTAAATTAGTTTTTATTTGAGATTTCCGTTTTACAGTTTTAAATTATCCGTTTACGAGTTTTGACATTTGACATGGCGATGGGAAGTGATTCTTATGGGCTCCGCTGGCTCATTGGTTTATTTGATTGTTTGTTTGTTTGGTTCTCCGTCACTTCCACTTCCATTCGCATTTACCATTCCCCTGCCAGACTCGGCCCCACCATTGCCCCGCAGCCCGAAAATGTCGCGTCGATAAGGGCGCTCTCCTAACTTTTCCGATTGGTGTGCCTTTCCGATTGGTCTCATATTTTCTTGTTTACAGTGCAAAGAAATTGAGATCGTGCGGGCAGCGATCGGGGCTTATACTATATAAGTTTTTACGCAACACTTGTGGGAAGGCAATGTCGTCGGGTTGATAAAACCGCTGGATCCATAAATTATCTGACGCGGCTAGACAAACAAACACTTGTTAAAATTGTCACATATTTGTTTGGGGTCAGATCTTGTTACTTTGGGTTAATATATGTATGTATGTATGTATCTTACTTGGGTAATCGTATATCGAGTATATATTAGCTGTGGGGTATATTTTTATAATCAGTGATAAAAGATCGTAGTTTCTTAAACTGAAAATACATCCCAACTCAGTGTGTGGTTCCAGATCCTTTGTATCCATCGGAAGTGGTTCTCCTTTACTTCCGCTTGTTCTACCTTTCTCTAGCTCTCGATCCCATAGCGGTACAACTTAATTTACCATTTTACTACTTCCTCACCCACACTCTCCACTCTCCCCAGTTCCTCTCTCTTCTTTTCACTAGTTTTTCGCTTATCCTTTGTCCTCTTTTTGATTTCCGTTGCGCTTGCGCTTGAAGCGTGCACAACATCCGCTCTTTAATTCTTCTTTCTTTTCCGCAAATCCTTCGTATCGCTTTTTGTTGTTCTTTTTACAGTTGGAATACTAGCATTGTCCTGTCCCGACATCCTGGGAAGCAGCAGCTATTAACAGGTGAGATCCCGCTATCTGGCAAATCATTTGCGAAGGTGTGAAAAAATTTCGAAATCCTGCGAGTTTTGGGGGTGGATTGCATTTCTTTGTTTTGTTTGTTCGAGTTGTGGGAATATATTTTTACTTAACAAATTGGAATTGAGCTGTTTTGATTTTGGAAGAAATCTAAATTTTTTTATCAGTTATAACTTATAAGTAATTTAAAATCAAATTTTTATGAGCTTTAAAAATAAAGAGTGCAAAGTCCTGACATTGAAATTACTGATCTTTAAATTATTGCATACTTTTCAGCTCCACATAGTGAGTTTTTCCTAGAAAACTTAAAAGAAGTAGGATAAATCGTATATTACTTGCGTTTCTAGGAAACGAAATATAACTATAATAACTATAATAAATCTGGGTAACATAGTATCCAAAATAATTTTAAAATAATTTCTGCAATTACAAAAGCTCAATTTGTAAATACCAAAACTATTGACACTGTTTAATTTACAGATTTTTGAGCACACATATTGGCATTTTTCCTTCATTCGGACAACCATTTATCCCACAATCTGTCAGGACACTTGACACATGGTCTCAAGAACACTAACCGCACAATTATGCCCCCTTAAACGCTCCCAACAATGCAACACGCCGCAAAGGAGATCCAAACAAAGCAACAAAAATTATGGACAAAAAAAAATCCAAGCTGAAAGGGCTATTTTGGGGTATAATTTCATGTAATTGGGGACAGTTGGCAAAGGACAGATTTGTGGTTTGCCATCCTGACCCTGGGAACAGATTTCATTGGGCATTGACAGTTGCCCCTGCCGGTCGGTTATGCAAACTCAATTTGGGTCACTCCAAGCCTACACACACACACACGCATACAAACCCCAAAACATCATGGAAACGGTAAGGGATGGGGGATGCAGTTCGTCAAGTGACCTGAAAGTAGGTTAGGTGGATGCTGGTCTCGATGCAGCAGCTGGAGAGCTCAGTGGTATCCCTAAAGGGGGTATATTTTTTAGAATTCTAAATGATTTTCCCATTTATTTATCTTTCTGTGGACAGATACCCCTTTAGGTAAACGCCACTGTCCTGCTGTCGGCCTTTTGTGCTGCATCTTTGGCTTGTGCCGCCACCCTTTTCTTTTTGTGTGAACCTGCCCCCCATTGAATGTCTCTGCATGCTGAGTGCTGCTCATCCGTCCAATGGAGGGGAGCCCTAAACAGAGGTTCCCCCTTCTATCAGAATCCATTCACTCAGAGCCTCTGCTCATAATTGATGCTCAAATTGCTGGTGAATGGTGCAAGCTGTGTTGAGGAAGAGGCACTTGCCACAGATTTAGTTTTTGTGCTTGCGACACGTTGGGCATTATTATTATTATCATTATTATCGTTGCATTGTGGAGTCGGGCAGTTGATGATCACGATGGTTTTGTGTAGCCACATTAAATTGATTTAATTAAGACGAATTAGACAGGCGGAAGTGGGTGGAGGCGCACACGTGCCAG